ACTAAAAAAGCCCCCTTGCAATTCCCATTCTGGGCTGACCTGTGGATCATCTGGTAAGGAGTGTTAAATGTGTGATCCAGATGGCCTCCAAATTCCTCCCCAGGTGAACTGTGCTCATTCCACTGCAGTTGGGCAATGGTGGAGGCTCCCTTCTAACCCTCTCCCTTACTCCAGGCCTGAGTTAGGACTTTAAAAAGGATTATAGTTTGCTGTAACTGTTCTGAAAGCTGATATTTTGAAATAATGCACATATATATGTTTATACAGAAAAACATAATATTTTTTATTTAAGAAACAATCTTTTAATCCCAATAATTAATAGTTCACCATCTGAAAGGGAGATATGGGAAATGGTTCTGTGGAAGAGTCTGAGGGACCACATTGCCATAATTATATTTGTTCATTTTAATAAAGAAAACTGAAAAGAGAAATTCCTTGAGGCTGCATATGCTACATCAGATCTGATGTTCAGTGCAGTTTGTTGTAGGTCTTTTTCTGATGTTCTGGGTGTTGACCAAAACCATTGATGCTGAATACCCCAACTTGGCAGAGACATATTAAAAAGTGTATTAAAAAACCCCACCTTGATAATTTCACTGCATAGTTCAAATTCTTCATTCCTTAACTGAGCAGTTTAGTTCCAGTAAAGACAGCAAGCCAGGGAATCCTGGTAACATGATTATCTGAGAATTGTATTTGGATGTCTAAGCAAGCTGCAGAGAACAGGGACAGTAAACAGGACTGGAAATTTCACAGATGAAATAGAATTAATGCCTGGGTATGGCTTGAAAGAACAGTGAGACTGTTTCTTTGGTTTGCTGGGCTCTTCAGATTAGGACTATTTCTCAGTTGGATGTTTCCTTTTTTGTTTTTTTTCATTGGATGGGAATGCATTTCTCACCTGTAAAATCCATACTTGCTTAATCTTATTTGAGGTCGTTGTTCTGAAGTAATCGCTAACATTGGTGGTTCTAATCAGGTTTCCACCTAACTTGAGAAACAGGTTCATTTTTGTGGGTCAGCTGACTCCAGGGAATGCAAAATACAGTGTGAAAATAGCAATGCATATGACCAGTTTGATTAACTGTCTCAAAGTCCTTATTAAAAGTCTAGCTGTAGCCACTGAAATCTTGAAATCTTCAAAACCAGAATGGAAGACTCTGGTATTTAACTTCTTAAGCCACATTAAGGTCCACTAGGTATTGTGAACTCAAACTAGAGATGGAGGGGAGAAAAAAATATGTCAATTCTGTCATGATGTGGTTTCAGATCAAAATCCCATATGATTTTCAATCATGGAATTGTTTTTCATAATCCTTGTATTAAGGTTAAATTTATTTTTATTATGTTAAAAGCTCTGATTTTTTTGTTCATGCAAAATCTGGAAGTAGAATGTCTAGACTTTGAATTATGCTAAATCCGCTGCAATTTATCCCAGGATTATTTATTTGGGGTTATTTGTACGGAAGTGCCATTAATGTGTTGAGCAGTTTGCTCTGGAACAGCAGGGACATGACAGTCAGCTGTAACTTAGGGGTGAACTTAACATTTGTTACCTTTGACTTGCTTGACTGTTCTGTTATTTTAATAAAAACAATAGTTTTGTTTAGAAAACAGATTTTAAAAACACCCAACCATAAAAAAGTTTCTATATTTTATATATATTAATATATATATATAAATGTGTTTATATAAAAATGCAGGGTGAAAATGGCATTGTTGTTAATTGACATTGACTTTACCTAAAGTGCGCCCCCTCTTAGTATGGTGTTACCACAAATTGACACCATCTCATGAACGTTCTTCTAGCAGCAAATCCAAGAAGAAATTGTAGTTTATCTAGGTGAAATCACTTTCTTTCACTTTGATTCTTAGTAACTCCTTCTTGTGAAGACAACAGAAATAGAGGTTCATGACTTGCCAGGTATTTAAGTTGCTTTTCTTAGTAACTTTTGCTGTTAATCTCCTTGTTAGGGATCCATTCATTTTCTGATCAGAGGAGTTTTGCATCTGGAAGTCTCCACTATTTCTTATGAACAACCTGAAGTTTATTACTGCAATTTTTATAATGAGGTTTTCGTAGTCCTTGTCTGGCTGTAGATGGATGTGAGGGCCCTGCTGGATAATGTCACTTTCCCAGGAGCTTGTATCACATGACCCTTGCTCTCCAGCTTGTCTCGGTGACAATTCTAAACTTTGTGCAAGCACAAACCCCTCTCCTTTGTGGACACTGGCAGTAGTTTTCTATGAAATGTTGCACTTCAGCAAGCCTTCACATGTGGGAGGAATATTTCTAGCATTCATTCTTTCAAAACTGTCTTTTCCTTTGTTGCCATCTTATTCCATTTGCTTATCACAGGATGAGAGAAATTTGAACTGTTCCAGTTTATCTTGCAGGACGTAGAGTGGGACAGAGTGTGTAAGACTTTTTGGGGAACATCTGCTTCCCAATAGTCTCCTTGAATGTGGAATTATTCTGATGAGAAACTGACTGGTAGCATGAATAATGTTTGCCTAGGCTGGCTCAGAAGCAAGGAAGTAAGTTAATTTTTACCAGAGATAGAGAAGGTAATATGTAGAGTTGTAATGATCTTGTCAGATCTGCTGTCCACAAGATCAGATAGTTAATCTGAGTTATTTACCTGGGCTCCTGAGACAGTAAATAGCAAAAAAAGCATTGTCAGAGGGCAGTTTATTCACTTCTGAGACAGACAAGAGAGGTCCTTTCCAGAGAGCTATTAGTCAGAAGTTTATACTAAGAAACTTGGTTGTTGCTAGCACAGATGTATTATAAGTGGCCCATTGTTAATTTTGTAAAATCCTAAAACATTTTGAGGTGGAAGATAAGTTACAAGTTTAAATGATGTGTATGCACAGGGTAAATGCTTATGTAAGAACCAGGACACTTGAAAAAATTCTAAGCATGCAGACTCCAAAAGTCAAAGAGAATAACAAAAAATAAGAGCAATAATAAAATTTCTTAGGCACATCTTTTAAGTAGTTTTACTGAAAATTATTGACACAAGTGCATGAGAAATTTATATAATTTAGAAAAACAAGATAGTTCTTAGTTTGAATGTCAAGTCTGAGCTGGGAGTCTGTGTGAGGTAGTAAACTTGATTTTTGGAGCAGTGAAGATTTCTGACACTGGACAGTTTATAAGGGCAGCCGCAAGCCCGACTTTTTCAGGTGTGACACGTTGATGTGGAGTCATTGTTGCCCTCTGCTGGCATCTGCTGTAAGCTCCTAAGGCTTTCCTCGTCAAGCACCATGGTGTCCGTGGTTGATTTCAGAGGGACACTGTTAATGTGTTTCAGACACATTCAAGCCCATCCTTTGAAGGCAAAAGTCTTTCTCTTTAAAAAGACATGAGGGTGGGGGAGAGAGGGAGGAGGGTACAACTCCTACCTGTCATCGCTCATCTGCTTACAAACTGCTGAAAGCTTTAAATTCCCTATTCAAAAGCCCCCAGACATAAAAATGTCAGCTGAATTAATTCAATATTTTGAGTACTGACAACTGTTGTAGTGTTTGAATTTCGGGGGCATGAATTAAAGGCATCGAGGGTCAGGAGAGAGAGGATCATATATCAAACTGCTCAGTAAAAACTCAGCTTTAACACAGAGATTGTTGTCATTGTCCTAAAAAGAGTCCCAAAACCCCAGTTCACACAGCTGAGCTTTCTGAGAGATGACAACACAAGAGAGAAAAATATTTGTGTTTACAAGTGCCTTGCTGGCCAGTCTTGTGCTTCTATCATTCACAGTTACCTATACAGAAATAAAAGACAAAAGAACAAAATAATCTGTCTACAAAGTAGGAGAGGGTGGCCATCCTCTTCCCTAAATAATCATCTCATCTCAGGTGCCCCATAATCTCTACACAACATATGGAAATGGAGATTTCATGTTCAGCAGTGGTTCTTTGTCAATATCTTTGGAATATCAGTCTGTTTTTTTTTTTTTAACTGTGAAATGTAGTTAATCTTTCTTGCCTATTTTAGAAGATTGAGTATGAGTGTTAATAAGTGCTTGATATTTGGTCTGTATTAAATCTATATGCAGAAATACCTGTTGTTAGCAGAAAGCTGTGCATTGACTTTATAAAACAGGCTTTGCTTAACTTGTGACAAACCTTTACTTGAGAAGACACCTTCAGCGTTATGGTTGTGTAGAACAAAATCCATTTCATTAACAGAAAGTTTTCTATCTTAATTTTTTCTACTGTGTTTTGTAATGGAAACAGCCTGATCTTTGCTTTTAAAGTGTTGTGTACAGGAACAGGAGGCAGTACACTCAGATTCCAGTGCATTGCCGAAAGAGTTAAAAATTCAAGTACGTTTCTTCCAAATGATGGTGCTCAGGAACTCTTTACTGTTTATCTCTGAACAGCTCAGTATCCACATTACACTAATGTGAGTTTGGGAAAATCGATGCCAAATGGAGCATTAAACAAATACCTTTCAGATATGGGATGCTGCAAGGGTGATGCTAAGATTGTTCTGCTTCTACTTCAGTCATGAATTGGGACACAAATATTGCAGAAACTTTTGATTAACCAGCTTCTAACACAGATCCAGCACTATAAAAGAGTGGATTTTATATTCCATTTGGATTCTGACACCCAGAGGCCTCTAATAACGACCAGATGTGAAATAGAAAAAAATATTTGGGAGCAGTTAATGCCTAACTATAAAAGTGACCATGTGTAAATCACTGTAGAATGTGGTTTGAGCAAGGGCAGTAGGTGTTTTCCTTTTGGTTTTATTTCCCCCAAGGCTGTCTGTGTGTTTTCATATATTGTAGTGCAAAATCAGTCAGAAAAGAGAAATATTTTGATCCAGCACTCCATCCCACTCAGGCAGGATTATTTGTAATTTTTCTAAAATTTAAATCTGCTCTTTGAAGAGAAAAGTGGTTCAGTTCGACAAAGAGCTGTGCTGCAAGGCCTTCATCCTCTGAGGGCACATTGCTGCGTCCTGATGCTTCTCTTGTTCTCAGGTGAGCGTCCTTACCAGTGTCCTTACTGTGACAAAGCTTTCAGCAAGAACGATGGCTTGAAGATGCACATTCGCACCCACACCAGGGTAAGTCCCACACAAGGAGGAGTTTTTATGGTTGCTTGAGGATTGTCTGTGACTTGTGTGGCAAAAAGTAATTAATTCCTGTTTGTGTAGCGATTAGGCTCTGCCAACCAAGGTATTTTATGCCTATCAAAATAAGCAAAGATTCAAGTCATTAACTTACAAATTCTAATTAGAACTCCACTACCTTCTATTTTTTCTGTGTTTGAGTTCTTTAATGTTGAAATAATAGCTGTACTAACCTCTTCATTTAACCCGTGGTTTATAGATATAAATTAATGTTGTTTACTGAGTAAACAGTTCTGTAAAGGCTTCACTGAGAGTGAAACTTCAGTATCCAGTGCTTTGATTCTTACTGTGCCTATACAGTCCAGTCACTGTGAGCTTTTCTAGTACTTTATTAACGGGTGACAATTAAATAATTAACAATAAATTAAATAACTTTAATTTAACTGGGTGCTGTTACAGCTCACAGAGATCAGTGCAGCCTTGAGGCCAAACCAAGAAAATTCTGCATCTGCTGGGAAATAGGGAGGGTGACATTTAACTTAGTAGTCTCCATATGCAAATAAGCACACAGAATTGCTTTCTATATAAGTAAAATTATAAACTGTTTAAATTTCTACTGTTCTGTGTGGGTCTTGAGCATATTAACTATGAGGTCCTAGATAATGTTGTTGCTTTTGTACCCCAGACTATACAAGTAATGAGTAGTTTGTGCAATAGTCTTGGTAGTTCATTGGGAACAGGCTAGTCCAATGTTGTTAGTTGTTTCTCCCTCTTTTTTGCAGCTGTTAAATCACTTTAAGAAGTGCTATAAATTATTTTCTGCTGTTACTGTGTCCTCTTAACTTGTGTTTGCACTAGGAGAAATTTCATGACCCATCTAAGTTCTGCATGACTGTGAGGGGTAAACAAGCTCTGAAACAGTGCCAAATTCAATTTTTTTCCATGATTTTTCATACAGTTTGGGTAAAAACAACAAACACTCCCCAGCCTCTGTAGAAGAAAAATAGAGGGAAAAAATACTATTAGGCTTTTAAAGCCTACAGTGATTTACACCAAGTGATGTTTTCTTCTAAGCATTTTTTAGCTGCTAGGAAAGGGAGGATTTAGGAAGATAAATTTTAAGGAGTGGATATTTCTTTTTAATATATGTAGACACTGTAATTAGACAGGCTTTGTGTTGCACTAAGAACACAATAAAATTTGTTTTAAAATATCTCTACTGTACCATGGAGGCCAAATACCATCCATAGAGGTACAAAGATCTCAGTTTACACCAAATGTAATCCGAGTGCTTCTAACACTTGAGATGTGTTGATCGTCTATGTATGAAAGGTCACACTTCAGATTTTTTTATTTTGGTGTGTGAAGGTGCTAAGAAGACTGCTGGTCATCCCAACAACTATGCTGTAGGATTAAAATGTGCAGGCCAAACATGGTTTTTTAGATGTGCTTTTTGTGGTGATGCTGCTCCTATCCCAAAACTTGACAGTGAGGCTCATTCATATTTGATTGCCATTACATGTTCATTTGTCTCCATGTAAGTATTTTTTTTACTTTGAAGTAACAAGAATCAGTACTGATAACATTTACATTAATAGTAATTTATAAATTGAAGCCTATAATTGTTGCTATAATCTTGCATGTCCCAACTTCCCCTTTTCCTCACAGTTCACCTTATTTAATATTTAAGTAGAACTGGGCAGCTAAAAAATCAAAGTCATCTTAGGAGGAGGAGGAAAAAAATGGATTTAAATTATTAATAAAAAAAGAGAAAAGAAAAAACAGTTTATTACTGACTCCCATGGATTTTCAAGCCAGAGGAAGGAATTATGCCAGAATCTGTTGTGTAGAACAGAAGTACTGATCCATGAAGTACTACAGGATAATAAGCTATTGTTATTTTATTGTTCAGGTGAGTAAATATTAGTGCAGGTACAAAGGAATAAATATGTATTTTAGCTGATGAGGAAGAACAGCATGGTGAAGGGAATTGGAAAGGAAGGAAAGGGAACTGGGAGAGCAACAATGCTGAGAGGTACATGGGCAAGACACCATTTGGGTCTTGGCAAAAATGTGCAGATATATTTAATCTTAGTAGTAGGTTGATACTTGTCAGGAATGCAGGGTACAGGAACCAAACCAGCTCTTCTTCAGCAGAGAAAGCAGCTGCTGAGCTGTTCAAGTGTGTCTTTCTTGAGGTGAGGGCTCATGATCTGAATTCTGATTTTGAAGTTCTGTGTTTGAACTGCACCGTATAAGGACTTCTCCAGGGAAGAAAGAAACCTGTGCAGAAAGATTTTGAGACTCCTGAGCACAATGCTAACGTACTAGGACTTGTTCTGTGTTCCCGGGCTGTTTAAACAAAGATGAACTAAAGATTAGGAAATAAAAAATGCACCATGTTTGTCAAAGGTTTGGGTCCTTCTGTCAGTTCTGAGAATAAGAAAAACCAGGAAGTCACACCTGAAATTTCTCTTGTCAGTCATCCCCTGGTTTGACTTTTCAAAATGGTGTAAGGTTGTAGGCTTTTCCTTTTTCATTCTTTCCTACGCATACATTTTACTTTAAATTTATTCTTGCGTGCAACATTGTTACTGGAAGAATAAAGATCAATATTTATAAATCCTGAAGATATTTTTGTATCAGCTGAAATTAACACAACCATGTTATGCTTCTGCAGTGATAAAATATTTTTTATTCATAAATATCTTGCAAAAAATAATCTGGTCTTTTGGCCAGAAAGTTTGTGAAGTAGCTTATAAGTAATACTATGGCATTCACCAAAGACAGTGGAGATTAAATGTCAGTGTGTTTTACCAGTGGGCTTAAATGCTGGACCTGATGCTGGGGATCAGGGAAGTCTGCTGGAAAAATCATTGTAGAAAGTTGATTAAGGTCTGGCAGCTGCTAAAGTGAGCACAGCCTGGGTGGCCACAGGTGTCGGCTCCAGCTCCGGAGTAAAAAGAGAAAGTAAGGCCAAACCCCTGCTGGCCAGGGCAGGGGAGAAAACACCACCCACCTGATATTAAAATGTCACCTGAATACTGATTTGTTTCTATGAACGTAAATGTGTTTGCTTTATGGTTTGATGGTTTGGGTTTTTTTCCTTAAGGAGAAATATAACAGCCTAGGAAAACATAATGAAGTTGTTGATGAAATGAGTTTACAGAGCATATCAGTTTTGATGGAATTCCATGCACATTTCCAAACCTCAGACTGCAGGAAGCTTCAGCTCTTTCCTAAGGTTTTATTCAGTGCCTAACATTACAATGTTTAAGCTTAAACATGTTGAAAAATTATTCTTTGTTGCAGCAATAGAATTGCTAGTACTTGGAAATATGGCCATTGATAGGTGCCCAGAGTTGTTGTCGTGTTGAATTGATGTTTTCATTACTTCTGAGAATGGTGATTTTATTACAGTTGGATTTAGTGATGGAAAACAGAGAGAGTTGAAGCTATTTGAAAATGACTTTTCATCACTTGATTTGAATATTTCATATTTACATATAACAGCTATATTTAATTTTTATAACTTCTTTAAGAATCTGAGTTCCAGTGGGTGGAAGCTGCCAGCCTGTGCTTAAATGAGGTACATTTCTGAGGTAATTTAAAAATTAGAGACATTACAGTGTATAATTTTTGTTTCATGCATAAGTGCCTACTATTTTAAATCACATTAATATTTAAATACTTTTAAATCACAATATGTATGGAAGTTAACCTACGTTGAAATAATTTCAAGTTTTATTTATGAATTTCATGGGAATAGGGATATATCATGGTGAGTATGGAAGTGAGGCAGTCCCCTGTAGAGGACTCTTGCAGACAGTGTCTTTGTTCCCAGAACAAGAAGAGGTCCTGAGTTAAACAGGCTTTCCAAGGCACTCATTTGGAACTTTACACTGCCCCCTCTTTTTTAACTCAGAGGAGTATTAAAGTAGTAGTAAATGAGAAATAATGCAAGGACAATATTGACATAATTTCACTTCTCCTGTGTTTCCCAGGAAATATTTGAGCTTAAAGTTTGAGAAAGTGTTGTGTGTTTTAGAAGCACCATACTGTCAAAAAAAAGATTTCTTTGTGTACTAAATATAGACTTCTGTGCACATGACAGTGAGTAATGAAATAATATGTTGTGATGATTGAATTTGGAAGGGGTCTTCCATCTTGGATTTTATCTATATTTCCCTGTTGGTAAGATAGGGGTGAGTTCCCAAACATCTGCCTGAGGATGATGTCTTTGCCAGGGCTGTGGTTTCCTTGCTTCTGGAATATGTGTTTGCACATAATGTGGAAGGTTTGAATCCCACTGCACCTATATTTTCACAATTTTTATGTGATGTTGACTGATGATCATGCTTTCCTTGTAGAGTGAAAATGTACTTTTTCTATATTGATACTGTTACTTTCCAGGAACAGAACATTTATTGAATTTTCATCAATGCTGATTGAATAAACCCTCCTTCACTAAATTTTAAGGCCAGAAATTATCTCAGCAGTTCAAAAAATTGTGAAGAATTGAGAACTTTTTAGTTTATGGGCAGCAAATAGGCAGGACTGCCATGGAAAATGGGAAGTTAATGATATGGTAAGGCGCAATGAATTGCATATACTGGATCTTTTTAAGAAATGCACTTTTTTTTCTGGCAGACATTTCAGAGAAGATGCATGCTTTTATTTTAATTATAAATTTTATTGCAAAAAGGATTATTTTTTTATTACTCCTAAAACTGAAGTAATTGAGACCTGTTCTAAAAAAGCCATTAGTCATTTAGAATAAAAGTCACATTTTGTTTAAATCTGCCAGAAGTATTTCACAGTTGTTTTAACAGGAAAATTTTTTGGCCTGCTCTAATTGTTGAAAATATTTTTTTAAAGGATTTTACTTTTCAACGTGTTCTTGTAAAGTGATTTTTAATTGAGGCTTAATATTATAAGTTGCAAATCCCTACTATTTCTGTAGAGTTGTAAATTCTCATCACTCTTTGTCTTCCAATGTCAATGTTATATTTGTAAGTTGAGTAGGCCTCCGTCTCTGGGTCAGCCATTTGCTGTAACCTGCAGAAACCTTCAGGTTCTAAGAGAACATCTTGTTAGTTCTTGAATGTTTTCCAGACTTAGATACAAAATTGGAGTCTGTTAACTTGGGCTATCTGTGATTTATAAGTGTAAGCAGATTTTCTGCATTTTCAGGTTGGCAGAGCTGAAGGATTTCCAGATTTCTCTTTGAGAGTAGTGAACTCCTGTTTGCTGCAGACATGACCGGTGTATTTTAATGTTATTTGGCTGGTCACGATTGTTAATTCTAGGCCACATTTTTCCATTTGTCTGATTTTTTTTAAAACATTTTTTTTATTAACCCTCTGTCCAGGTGATAATGCAAGCATATCAATCATATTTAGTAACAGTAATACTGATATTTTCAAAATTTTCACATAAAACTCCTTTTGAAAGCATATAGTGTTACTGTATCAGTATCTCATAAAAAGACATTTTAATATTTTTCTGTGAGCAAAGGAAGACTTTGTTTTAGAATAATGGAAAGAAAAGGATGCTTTATTTTAATTTTTTTGGTGTTCTGTAGTATCACCATTATTCCTGTCTGTCAGTTTTCACATTCATGTCACAAGTGTAAATATTTACATGTAATACAAAACCTGATAAGCTTTTCCTTTTTTCTCTGAACTTCTCTCAAGCTTCAGTTTTCAGCATGTTGAAAATACAGGCCCGTCAAGTTGGTAGTTGTGTTCTTAACTCTTATTTTAATCTTGAGATACGTTTATTTGGTAATAATAGTGTTTAAATTATGTTTGTCTTGCTGTAACAGTTGAGCTGATGGAATAGTTCTAAATTCAGATTTAGAAAGTAAGTTGGAGAGACTCCTACCAAAGTCATTCATGTTTCACCTGTGTAACCAATATTACCAGGTTTACAGAAACAACCAGTATTACCAGGTTTGCAGTGCACAAGTGCTGACTTAATGTACATAATGCATTTATATTTCTTAAGGGACATACAGGCAACTGCAGCAGCAGCTAGCAGTTCAAATATTCTGCATTTGAGTATTTTCATCTGCTGTGCTTGCAGGACACTCTGTGCACACTTTGTATCAAGCTGTTGAAGGTGCATCAAGTGTCCTTGAGATTTGTCATGTTCTGAGTGAGGTCGTTCTTGTTCAGAGGCAGGAAGGTTGTAAATCCTGATCTGCATATTTCTATTCATACCTGGCATGCTTAAAACTCTGATATTAAATCACTGGAGTATCAGCCACGTCCTGTCTCTCTCACTCTACCTGCTCCCTTCCTCGTTTAGATGGTCAATAAAAGAAAACACATGGAATCCGTCAGCTTGGCTACCACCATAGCCATGGCCTGGCAGATGCTTCTTCAGCAGAGGGCAGATTTATAGTACCAGCACTTGCTAACTCTACTGAAGTCAGGTTTGGATCCTCTTCCCAATGAGCTCCTGTTTTGCTGATAGTTAGCAGATTTCCCCCTTTTTTTGATCTTTTAAATTTTTCCAGCTTTATTCTCATCTCAGCCTTGGCCCCTTTTGTCTTTTTATGGTGGCACTAACTTTTTCAGGCCTCTTAGCATGGTTTTTATCCTTTTTTTTTTTTTTTTCCCTCTGCTCACATTTAATGCAGTGATGATTATGCCAAGCAAACATCACATTTTCCATGTTACAAGTGTTACTTTCTCCAAGCATTGTGCAATGGAAATTTGACACAAGGGGGAGAAGAAGCAGAGAGGAAAGGAAAAGCGCAGAATGTTTTGTTTTGAAGAAATTGATCTGTGAGGATGATGTCTTCTTCAAAATCAACAACAAAAAAAGTCTTTTTCTCTGGAGATTAACTGAGGGCCAGATTTTGCTCTGGGCAGCACTACTGCTTTTCCTGAAACAGGGCAGCTTTTCAGCAGTGAATGGAGGGCAGCTTCACACAGGAGAGAGGAGGCTGGTGTGAATCAGTCATGTCTGCTGAAGTCACTGGAATATACAGATGGAAGGGTTCTAAAATTAGATCAAAGACAGCTTTGGATGTGTTTCATGCACTACAGATGTGAATTTCAATACAAATGCCAAGGGGATGTTAGATTCACCATTTTTGCCACAGAGAATAATACAAATATAAAATATAGAACAGCCAAACTTAACCTGGGGGAAGATAATACAGCCCAGGTTTTTGACTCCAGCTTCTCAGAGTTTAAAATGGTTCTTTGTTCAAAATGGAATCCTGAAATCCATTTAGCACTGGAATGATTGACCTGGTCATTATCAAGTCAGTTCTTCAGATAGCTGAAGACCAAGATAATAAAAAGGGAGCGAGACCACCTGGTGCAGTTTGCAGTAGTGAATGCTTTTGTAGGTGTTTAAGATGTGCACATCGTATAGTTCACTTTGCACTTTCTGGGGAACAATCTCCACAGAGAAAGGCTGCTTTTGGAGAACTCACAGAAATGTGGTTTGTGTTAACCACAATGCAAAACCAATTAAGGGGTTGTTGCAGAAACCTGCTTTTCACATGGCTTATTTATACTTTTCCCTTAAAAATGCAGACCTTGCTCCATGAAGCCTTTAGTCAGGTTAGCAAAACTCCCTGTGACATGAACTTATAGATGTTAATTGGTTTTTTTCTTTCACAGATAGATTAAGATCTCTTTTAGGTAATTCATTAAGTTTTCCTGTCTACTGAAGAATCATGGAAATAACACTGCCTTTTCTAAGAATCTTGATGGGAGGAGACTGCAAAATGAAAGAACCCCATCTTTGCCCCACTGAGGTCTCTGGACCTGCCCTAAGGCGAGAGACTGGGACATACCCAGCACTAATTGATAGTACACTGTATTAGGTGTATGGTGAATGCTGGTGAATCCTGGCAGGATTCAGCAATATATGGAGACCTGGTGGTTTTCAGCAGCTGAGAGTAGGAATTCAATAACAAGACAGTTTGTTCTCTTTGTTGCTTCAATGCCTGGGCTGTTCCATCTCGCTTATCCTTGGATCCCACATCATCTCTCCAAAGAACTTGATTACTGCCTATTATTTGTTAATTCATAGATCTAGCTGCTTTTTTTTTTTTTTTGACTATTGATTTATAGTTATTGCTTTCAATTTAATTTAGTAAAAAGTGTTTACTTTTTTTTCTTAAAATGCTTTTCTTCAGAACTTAATCAGTACAGAATTAGAGACCACAGTAAAAAGTAGAATGAGAGTAAAGAAAGTCTATTGGTGCAAAAATAAGGGTGCCTCTACAAGGTGAAAATTTTAATGAGGCCATGTGTAGTGCCATAATGCTAATTCTTGCATTTAATTGATTGGTTGTTTTTATTGTTTTTTTGGTCTTGCATTTTAATGGATTTCTATGCAGTTCTTTTGTAACTTCAGTGGAATTAAGGCAGAATTCCACCTCTATAAATTTCTATATGAAAGAAGAACATCAAAGAAAAGATCTTTACATAAGTGGGTTTCCTTATTTATCTCCAATTACTTGTTTCAGGTCAGTGAGATTGCAACTTTTCTAACATCATGTTTTACAGTAGCTGCTAACCAATAGTTCTAATAAAAATACAGATGGTTTGGTTGCCATCTGTACTTCTTTTGAGATTCTGCAATGAATATGTAATTAACCTTCTGTCACCACTTTTCAAAGTAAGTTTTTCTGCTACCACAAGCTTTCCTTGTACCTCCTCTTCCTCCCTATATCTCTACCCCTGCTTGGAAAACTCCAAACAAACTCGAAGTTTTTGTGGATAATCTTACTTGTCTGTATGCTTTAAGCATTTGTGGAGGATAAAGGAAAGAACATTGGAATTTTATGTTTCTGTACCTTTCAGGTGACAAAAAGCAGACTCACCAAATGGCTGGGTTTGAAAGACTGGAACAGATAATTAATTCATAAGTGGGTGCTGAAGTGGAAACTGTCAGGCCACAGCTTTCCCAGCTTTCACTTAATCATTTGAAAGTCATTTTCTGTTGTTTTCACTGACTGTAATACCTTGGAGAGAATATAAAACTTGCACCATCCAGCATGGAATTCCACTCCTTTAATGACCGGGGCTCTGTGTTGACTCACTTTCACTCTCTGTTGTCATTGCATGCAGGAAAAGCCGTACCAGTGCTCGGAGTGTAACAAGGCTTTCAGTCAGAAGAGAGGCCTGGATGAGCACATGAGGACCCACACCGGGGAGAAGCCCTTCCAATGTGATGTGAGTTCCTCTCCTCCTTTCCCTTTGTCTTCACAGCCTCTGTGCAGCAGCAGGATTTAATTGCAGGGATACTGTGGCCTTACACTTCCTGCTTGTGGCATAATTACACTTCAGATGGGCTTAGATTGCCCAAGGAATGAAACACTGTTCAGGGAATTTCATGTACCCTCTTTGCTTGCCAAGAGCCAAGCACACCCATTCATTTTATGGTTTTGGACCCCATAAGAGTTATTTGCACCATTAATAATGCAATTTGGATGTTACTATTTACAAATTCATACTGGTTGGGTTCCTGTATGAATTGTATGACAGGTTAATAGTCGGAGATTAGCTTGTGTGGGAAAAGGGATTTCATTTATTACATGGAATCTTAATGCTTCTGATGTTGAATGACATGAGTTTGAATTCAGAAGTGACTGTTTCTGGTGAAATCTGGTCTGATATTTTCAACATCTGCTCACAGCCTCTTTTTGCTCAGTGAGGAAATTTGGGATGCTGTGCATGCTTGCAGGGCTAAAATGCAGCATATCCTGTGACAGTTCATAGATCACTGTCAGGTACCCTTCATGCAGCCTGCCCCCCTTGTATGCAACATCTCTTAGCTTTTGGGAGCTAGGTGGGAAAGCTGAATGTGCAGAAACTATTGAGGAATAATGTCTTTTAGAGCTATCAAATGCCAAAATGTTTGCTCAAGGATTCAAAGGAAGGCATCAGAATGGGTGTAAATTAGTGTAGGTGTTTTGTTTTGTGATACTGACTCTCCATGAGGCAGTCACAGGGAAATGCCAGCTCTCAATTATGGCTCATTCTGAGCAGCTGTAAATTTGCTCAGAAATTTATATAATTAGATGCAAAATTAGAATAACAGCTTGGCAGGAAAGTTTCAAAGGTCTATTAACTGTTATGGTTTATAATGAATGATCTGATGTAATTTCATTGAGAATAAAATATATTAATTTCATGAAGAATGTCAACCAAGATAGTTTGCTGATGACTGCAAGTTAGGAGATTTGCTGTATTCTTTTGGGATAATCTCAGCCTGGCTCTGGATAGTACCTTGAGGATTTCTCTAACTCCAAATCATTGTCAATAACTTTTTCAGCTTTCAGATTGTTATACTGTTTATCAGCTCTTGGCCAGCTTGCAGTGTAAATGCAGTTTTTCCCACATTGTGGATCCAAGATTCACTGATCTTGGATTCAGAGTGTGCTTTTGCAGACTAACTTGGTATGGTGGTTCTATTTTATTCTTTTTCCTTGCTTTAATTACAAATAGGAGTGGTATGAAAGCATACTTCACCGTTTCAGCTTTTCTTTCAATTTTCCTCATGAATCAAGTAGAGCTGTACTTAAACACTGTAATCTGTGTCTAGTCCTAGTCCTTGAGAATTGAGAATTGCTTGAGAATTTTTCCAAGTGTGCCTTCACTTACTGGTCATATTTTTTTGTACTTTAAGTTTCTGCCTTGTTTCACCAAAATCACTCTTCAGGAGGAGCCTTTTGCTGACTACACACTGCCAGAGGCTGCTGATCTATTGGGGTTTGGACATAACAGCATTTGCCTCCACTGTTCATTCCTGAATGCTCCACTCACCCAGCTGCCCATCATGGTCTGTTGCTTAATGCACGCTTCGAGAGGGTTAAAATTGATGTTTTCAATAATTTCTCCTTATTTTACCTGGGCTCCTGTTCTGCACATGCTGGGGACACAGTAAATGTCATCCAGGGCAGCCCATTCCTCCAGAGCTGTCTTGCACATTGCATGATTCCAGATGTTTATGTAGAATTTGCAGGAAAGCCAGTAGTGGACAATTACAGAAAAATGTCCCTATGGGGGATATCTATTGTGGGCTACCCAATACTAAATTTCCTTTTTACATTTGACTATTTTCACCTAATCTTTTATTCTGCTCAAGATAGCTGTAGATGCTCTCATTATTTTTTGTATAATGACTTGAGTGGTAATTTATGACCACAACTTCCATGAGTTCTTATCTCTGGAATACTGCATACCAATTATTTTAGTCTATATTTTTGCTTTAAATAGGTTTTTTTTTTCCAGAGTCAGAAATAAAAATCATGTCTTCTCTTCCTGTCTCACTCTCCTCTTTCACAGGCAGATGGAACAGTCATTACATTGCAGAATTGCGTTACATGTGAAACTAATCCTTGTACTCTGTTTGAAGAAGGTGCTACAGTTTATATATGTGTCTATTCCTGTGTCTTATCAGTCAGCAATAGCATTTTCAGACCTTAATATCTCAAAGCTCTCACATCCCACAGATCATAGTGGAAATTGAATATTCCCATTTTAAGATGACAAGTCTAATACATGTCACCTAGAAAAGTGAAAAAAACCCTGAAATATGGAAATAGAAATGCAGTTTTTCATAGAAAATTAGATGTCTGTCCTCTTCAGACCAGCCTGTTTTTTACTGGAAGGCCGATTGAACTTCAGTTTCTCAGAGACAATAGATTATTTGGGGGGGGCAGAAAGGTCAAGTACTGCTGGTCCTGGTTTCTTTCCAGTACAGTATTTCCTTCCACTCTGCCTCTAGTTGACCTTATACTTTCTTTCAAATGTCAGTCTTTCCATCCTCCTTACCTGGACAAAACTTTGATCATTTTGAAGAGATTGATTAGAGCTCAAGTGCACACAAGCAAGAGTGGTTGTAAATCTGTAAAATATCAGTCTTGCTTATGAAATTTATATATGAAGCAAACTCTTAAAAAAAAATCCCCAAAACTTTTCTGCGTAAGAACAGCACAGGATGTGCCATACTTTTAATAATCATGTGCATTCCATGTGTTTTTTTGAAGAAGGAAGGTAGCACAACGTCTTAGAGCCTTAGAGGAACAGAAAGAAACATTACATTGGTCACATGAGCAGAATAAATGAAAAAATGTACTTTGAGGCTGTGTTATAAGCTGTTTATTTTAGAAATGAAGAGATGTGTGTAAGATACACAGAACACACACACATCTTGTATATGTGTATATTCTTAATTGGCCTCCTGACTCTCAAGAAACATGGAGTATTTATGAGTGTGTGATACTTTTGACACACTGGGATTTGTGGCTGTGATTAGATAAATGTTATGGGGTCCTTTTGTGTGCTCTGTGGAGGGGAAGCAGAAACAGAGGGGTTTGACAAAGGCAGTGCTCAGAGCTGACCAGTGGGTGCTGGAATTGAGGTTCACTGTCAGTAACAAAGAGGGTGGCTGTTGCTTGGGCCTCAAAGAGGTTTATTCAGAGATTATTCACTAGGGGAAAAGATGGAGAGCTGCAGTTGCTGTATGGAGGTCTTCAGCATTACGTCATGTCATAAAGTCAAAAATGTTCTCGTGCAGCAGCACACACAGTGTGGGAAGAAATTATTTTGGGTACAAAACTTGCCTCTGGCCCTTGCCATTTTATGGTTATTTAATGGTTTAGCCTTGATTGGCATAAAATCCATCTGGCGTTCAAGATGATCTACTTGGATAGTGAGCTCTTGTGGTTTCAAAAGGAACAAGTCATCATTCAGCATTTGCAGTAGTTGGGTGCCAATATAAATTTAAAGCTTTGTTTTTCTCCAGAGGGATTGTCCTTTGAGTTTTTTTCTGCATGAAATAGATATTGTCTGGAATGAACATGGAATTTTAAGAGTGCAAGCCAATAGATGTTCATTCTTGGTAAATTATCTCTTATCTATTTCATTTGTCAAATCAGTAGCTGCTTCCTTTTTTTTTTTTTTTTTTTTCTTTATTTCCCTGTCAAATTCATGTTACAATATTTCCTTGCATGGTAGGTGAGTGTGACAGTATAACGGCACAGTTTCAGTTGAGTTGGTGTCTTGCCTTAACTTTTAATTCTAACTTTCCTTTTCTGAACTTGATCTTTTAACCTTCTGTGTTTTTCATTTTAACTTCAGTACAGGGATTTTCATAAAGGAGTGGCTTTAGTATGGGCAAGAGTCCCTTGTGCCTCTATCCATCTATTCCCATGGCAGAATGAATTGGACTGCTTGGAGTACAATGGAGGAAAGCAGCACAGCAGATAATAATGCAAAGGAATTGCACCTTCATTTACCAGATGTCTGCCGTTTTCTTGGCCAGGCACAGAAAGGCTGGAACAACGAGGTTTCATTTACATTAGTAATTAACCTTTCTTGCAGTCTTCAGAACCTCTTCATTCTCACTCCTCCCTCCTTGTAACTGAGCAATTGGAACTGATTATTTTGGAAGCTGCAGGTGTCATTCTGGAGGTCAGGAAGTAAATACTTCATTTGAACTGATGGATGCTCATGATGTTTTGTCACAATTTTTGCTGCATCCCAGATGGAACAATAGCTTTAAAAAAACCTGAACAAAGCACCACAATGTTACCGGGACACTTCAGTGTGTGGGTATTTTGAAGATTAAGTATTTTTTATAGACAGACAGCATCCTTGTGCCTGTGGTACCACTCCTAATATACAACATAAAAAGATGCCAGGCAGAGTAAAAATCTTTCAGGTACTCTCTGAAGGAATTTTTCTTCCAAAGACCAGCTCATTTATTAAGTACTGCAGGTATGTGTGGCTGTGGCCTCAGTGATGTAACCTTAGGAGTATTATACATGCTTAAGATTTTAATAGTTGGTTTGACTTTGTCTTGTCTTCACTGCCTCAGGTTTGTGACCTGTCCTTCAGCCTGAAGAAGATGCTGATCCGACACAAGCTGACTCACAACCCCAACCGCCCCATGGCAGAGTGCCAGCTCTGCCACAAGAAGTTTACAAGGAATGACTACCTCAAAGTACACATGGAAAATGTCCATGGAGAAACTGACAGCTAAATAGGGCCTCAGTGAGAAGGGTGGATCCAAAGTGCTGAGTTTGTACGTGTACAAACTCCAGATTTTCCACCTGGCCAGTAAGCAAAATCAGGAAAAACAACTGTAATGTCTTCATGTGTTGTTTTCCCAATTTTGTTGAAAATATGTTAGTAGGAAAAAAAATCTCAAAGACATTCTGATGTAAAACAGCTTGAAAATAAAAAAAAATAGAGACACAAGAACTTTGGAAAAATTTTACCCTCATTTAAACAAATAAGCTTTAAGCAAACTTTTCTTTGTTAATGACATCCTTAGATATTAGTAGCAGTGCCTGGAAATCCTAGACACTTGCAACCAAACTCTTGGCTGTCTGCAACTGTATTTCTGTATCTAACCTACAAGGCTCCATTAAAATTATTTAATTTGAAACCGCACAGCATTTGTCATTCTAATTGACTGCTGATTGTATCCAGGCTTGCTTTATTCATATCATAATTCCGCATTTTGTTGTAACACAATTTTGTCTCATTTTATTTGCAGCTTTCTCATTACTGTATGAAACTCATTAACTTGAATTGATTCTTGAGATGCCAAAGTGTGTGGGTAGAGAACTGTGGAAATCTGTCAGCACTCAGTATTCCTATATGAGATTGAGGAGGATTTATTTCATCTGGTTGCACGAAACGATGCTGAAGCAAAATTTTTGAGCAATTTAGTTTTAAGTACTGCATCCATACTCATCACTGTGGCTGGCAAGGCAAGTGGAAAGACATCTGAACAGGATGGCTTGAGCAGCTAGAATTGTTGAGTTTACATGTGTTTGATTTCCTGGTGAATATCTAGTTCCGACAGTGTTTCTTCCTGCAGAATCAGATGCCCTGGATTTCTTGGATTTCTTCATATCACTTAAATACCTATTTCTTTTTTTTTTTTTTTTTTCTTAATATTGTTCATGAGCACTGGGAAAAACAGTGCTTTAAAACCAAGTAACAATCAAATTCTTCATGTTAGCAGAGTGAGTTGTTTGCTGCAGAAGACTCTTCAAAAGAGTTCCCACAGGCCCTCTTGTACAGCCAGATAACCAAGAAATTCTTATCTACAAGGACAGTAGAACTGTAACTTCAGAGGCTGATTCCATGTGGAATTCCTGGGTTATCAGCAGTTAATATTAAGGCTCTGGCATTAGCAAACTCTTCAGATTCATTTTGGACCTGTCAGTGTTTTTTAAAATGAACTGGGACATCTTTATAGAGTTCCTGCAGATTTTGGAGAAGTGTAATTATGAATAATTATTTTGTTTGTGGCAATCTCCTATGTGTAAAAGCATCCTAAGCCTTCATGCACTCTTTGCTTCCTGAGAGGTAGGAGAAACTTGGAGACTTTGCCAGTTCCATTCCACAAATCATTTTTTCATACAAATCAAGTATATTCTAAGACAAATGTAGTTGAAATAAGCATTGTAAAGGTGAGTAAAGAATATTTCCTCTCCTCGTTTGTAGAGATTTTGTTACAATTTATTGAAACAGTTTATTTCTAGGTCCAAAAAACTTTAATTTGCTCGTAGCTACTATAAATATACTATAATTTTAAGTGTTAGATTGCAAAAGCAATCAGTATCATATACTGAGTTGTGTGATGGTTTTTTGGCAAGATGTTCTTAAGTATCTCCAAGAAGAATTAGATTGGTCACTTTTTAGCATGTGTGGGATGGGTTACTTTTTGTTGCTGTTGTTTGCCTTTTTGACATAACTGAAAATAATTAAGTCATAGGAAAACCAAGATTTTGTTTTTCAGCCTTTTATGTTTTTCCTTCTTCTATTTGGTCAGTACAAACTCAGGCAAAAAGAATAGAAGGAAAATAAAACGCTTTAAAAAAACCAAAACAAAAAAACCAAAAGTGAAGGTTTTCTAAGGAATTCTTGAGGAGCAAGTCTGCTAAAATAAAAAGAAGAAAATCCTTTTTGGGGGAAAAAAAAGGGGCTAATTTAACATATTTTCATGTTTTGCATACGATTTTTGCCAGAAATCTGTACTGCAAAGTTGCTACATGTTAAGGGTTAATACCTGCTTTTGAGAAGACTTCCTAGTTGTGAAAGTCATAAAGAGAGGAGAATGTCCTGTTTTTGTAAAATTATTTCTAGGTAAGATACAATATATAAGGATTAATCTTGTTGTATATAATCAGCAACAGCAGTTAAGCAGCTGAAGCTTTGATCTTGTTAATGATGTCAACAGAGAAGGGATTGACAGGATCAGTGAGGGAATTCAAACCTTCCTGGCAAGGACAAGAAGCAGGTGCAGGACATGGAAGCCCATCTCCAGGTGAGCATCTTTTCTATCTTGTCCTCTTGGAACTTTCCCTTTGGGTTAAAATGGCTGCAGACCTGAGCTGCTGCAGAGCTAGTGCCTGGCTTGGCAGCTCCAGGTCTTGCCACAGCAAGAGCTGCCCTGTTGTTTCCATGGGGGCCTGAATTTCTCCAAGTCAGAGGTAATATGTTTCCCATTACTGGATTCATGAACTGTGTAATTGATTTTATATACAAGGCAGACTTACCAGTATGCTACATATTTTTATTTGATTATAGCTTTCCTAAAGAAAAAAAAAAAAAAAAAAAAAAAAAAGGAGAAAATCAAAACAAAGAGAAAGGAAAGAGAAAGCAAATGAGCAAACCCTTCTCCTTTGAGTAAAAATTTCCATTGACAGTGTCCCACTTAGTATTACCTGGAAAAAATAAATAATGTTTCCTTCACTTGATTTTGAGAAGTGATAAAGTGAAATCTGTTGCTCTAAAGGTAATTGTAAATTTTTTAGTGTTGTGTTTGCATATTTGTTCTTTAATCATAATTGTTAAAATACTGACTTTTCCACAGTATGTAGTGCCTTTTAGAGTAATATGAAAATCCTGAGGTATTCGCGTAAGAGTGTGTAGTCACTTCAATTTTAGAAGGTTGTGACTTTTCCCCCTTGTTCTGCAATTTTCTGCAGATACCATTCCATTTATTCTCCTAATTTTTCCATTACTATTGGCCCCTCTTGGAAAAAGCTCCATCTCTGATGTTAGGAACAGCAGCACTCTCACTAGTTCCTTTTGCTTTTCATTCTGATCATCTGTACGGACAAAAGGTGATACAAATCATTTAATATCCTTTCATTTCCTAATGTTAAATTTCTGATCTGTCTGTATGACTGTGAAGGATTTCATGTGTTCTTTAAACTATCAAGTCCTAAGTAGAAATCAGATAAAGGAGGGGATAGTATAAGTTAAAATCTGCTGGGCATTTTGTGTTGCTTTAGGTTGCAGCCTTTAGTGCTCTGCATTTGTGTCAATAAGTAGCACTGCTTTTATTCTTCCGAGACATCTGACTCTGTTTTAATTTTTCAGTTTAAAAGGTAGCATAACAGTCCTTCTAAAGCACCACTCTAGGCGGAGGAGTTCAGTGTGCTGCTGTCAGGGTGTGGTCAGGGTACAGTAAAATGTTTTCAGTTCAGTTACGTACTTAGTACACTGAAGTGTTGGGATTTTCTTTGCAGTGAGATTTGAAATATGTTTATTTGAGTTTTTTAGGCAAGGAATAAGCTCAGAATACAAGAGCAGTTACAGCTGTAATGTTGTGTTCTTCAACATACATTCTGACAGCTGTATGGTCTGTGGTACATCAAGAAAATGCGAGAAATTTAAGTAATTTAAGTCACAGGTAAAGAGTTGTCACAAATCAAGTTTCCTTGACTTGGAAAATTATTAATTGAACATTTCAACGTGGGATAGCCAGTCTTTTAGTTATTGCCTATTTAGTCCCCTTTATCTCCTGTCCCCTTCTCTTTGTAAGCTGTTCCTGACTGTGCAGTGCTGTGGGCAGGGGCAGACAGTGAACTGGCAGAGCTCAGTGTTTGCAAAGTGTTTGCTGCACACTTTCCCTGAGCCCCATTTGTTATGCTCAAGTAGCAGCAATGTCTGCAGCAAGTTAGTTTGCTAACATAGCTGCCTCTCACATTACAGCAGCAGAGGGATCAGAGCTGGCCATGACACCCAAGCTGTCATCACCCTCCAGTTACAAGGGAAATGAGAGGGAAACACCCACCCGTGCCACAAGTTTAGGAGGGACTTGATGGTCCATTTGTCTCAATGGACTCCAGCTGAGGTAGGCAGCAGGAAAATATTTCTGGATCTCCATCACTGCACATGTCCTGGGCTTGGTACATCAGAAAAATCTAGGTAAGTGAGATAGAGAAATGAAAACAAAGCCACTTAGTGTTTGACTCCTGGTGTTACTGTGTAAAACCATGAGGTCTTTCCAATAACTATCCCAAGGAAACTTGGATTTAAGAATTATTGTTCAATTTAAGAAAGAGAAAAATATTAAGAGTTGCCACCTAGGTTTTTGAAATGGTGTGATCCCACAAGGTTTTCACCAGAAGTGTTATATAGATCATATATATAAAAGGCTAGAATGGGAAGGTGAGATCACAGTTTCATAGGGCTCTGAAGTCTGACTGTGTGTGTGCTCCTGGAAATTAGTAGTCTAACTAAGTTTTGGCATTTGACTCCATTGTCTAGGTTTTCACTAGCAGGGTGTCCTGATAAGCAAGAACTTAGTTCTATATAAATACAACCAGAAAATGTCCCAGTTTAAATTCGATATTTTACACAAAAAAATTTAGAGCAACAATGAGACAAAATTGCAACGTTTTGTTATTATGTTTCTTGTATATAAATTTCCCATAAGACATCTTGCATCACAAACAGATACGATCAGCTGTACTTCAGAGATCATTGGTCATGTGTTCATAGCCTTTATCTTTCAAATCTCTGTAGCAATGGGAAGTGTCTCAGCATGTTTGTGCAGTAGCAGCATCAGGTAGCACGTAGCAAACTGGGAATAACTGGTTGTCAATTTTCTAATTCCATTTGTTGCATGGTAAAGCAGCATGTTCTTGGGTGAGCAATGATTGAAGAGAAGTTGTTTTCATTTCTGTTTTTCTCTGAGAAGGGCATTCAGCAAAAAGGAACCAATAATAAAAGTTGTTTTGGGTTTGTGGATTCAGGGGTTTTTTTGGCCTTCCTCCTACAGGGAAAAGACTATAAGCCCTTAAACCCACAAGTTCATTTCCAGTTTATCAGCTGTTCAAACATAACTGGGAGGAAGTGCTACAACAGGTAAGGTTGCTGCTGGAGGAGAAACCTCCACTACAGCATTAGCCAGGCCGACTCTTTGGTACTAATGTTGTGATCATTTTCTGTGTCATGCCTCAGACTTGAAAATATTATTTAACTAACTTGATCTGCCAAATACAAGGTAGATCATAAATCCACTTAGCAGGACAAGAAACATCAAAGTTGTTTCACAAAATGACGTTTTGTTCTAAAAGTTTTAAAGTGTTAGAGTCCTTTGGTCTGGCATGTTCTGGCTTTTTAACATAGGTGACCTAT